GTGTGTGTGTGATTTCTAAATATGAGTGTGTTCCGGAAGCCACACATTCTGCATGTACATTTATTTTTATTTGCATAGACACTCAAACATATAACATTAATGTACTGACAGCATCTAAAACACAACAGCAAATGTTTGAAAATCTATATTTAGGGAATATTGAATTCATCGGTTAATTCCACTCTATTTATGATCCATGAGAGTATGTTTTCATCCACATTTATTTAACGCAATTGACTAATTTCCTTAATTTGAAATGAGAACATTTCATTCTATTCTGTACACTGTAAACCTGACTACGTTGACAAAACTAAAAAAAAAAAACATTTGAGGTCAACAGTAAGAAATTCAAAGTTGTAAGTAAGCGGACCTGGCAGATTTTTATTTTGTACTCATGCATGTTAATTGCTCTTAAATTAAAGTAACTAAATTGAAATTAATCTAACTCATACATTTAACTTAACATTTTCATGTAATTTCAACTAATTAAATTAGTAAATACTAAAATATTTTTAGTAGTGGAAACTTAACTAATTTAACTAGCTAATTCAGTTCAATCCTAACTGGCTAATTAGTAACACAATGCTTTGATTAGCATAGCAATTGCTGAATATAGAGCAATATAGAACATTTGATATACCTAGAAAAAAACTAAATCCCCCACTTAACATTAAACTTGCACAAAAGAAACATTATGTAACACACAGCATTTACATTCCCTTTCGAGTGCCAGAGCAAAACATAACGCGAAATACAAATCCTCAGCTCAGTTTTAGTTAGGCTAAATTTAAGTTTGTCTAAATTAAAAGAAACAAAACAAAACAATGACAGAAGAAGAGATTACTTAAGTTGTGTCATAGTGTTGTGAAATAGAAAGTTCTAAATACTCATAAAAGTTCATTTGTTTGTTTATGAAAAGTTAACTTATTTGTTTAATCTGTTTAATCAACATGGTTGTTTTTTAAATGATATAGTTAAATAATAATGTAATAACAATTATTATATTATATATATAATAAATAATTTAAAAATATTTTTTTTAATTATTGCTATTATTTATTATTAGTACTATGATTGAATTAAATTGTAGTAGTAAAACATAGTAAAAATAATAATTAAAACATGTTTTGTGTTTCTTTTCCCTTTTCCAAATTTTGCAATTGTTCCTCTTTTGTAAGCTGTAAATACGTAATAATGTTAATGTTTCAGTATTTATCCTATACATCTACACACACACACACACACACTACTACTACTACTTCAAATGCTAGTATTAAAAATGGTTATTTTAATTATTTATTAAAATAATTATTTAATAATAATTATATTATTTATATACTAATTACTTTAAAATATTTAATTATTTTTTAAATAATTACTAATCATTTCAAATGGTCATTATAGCTATAATCGACTTATAAGTAGTAAAATATAGTAAATTTAAATTATATGCAAGTAGTAAAATACAGTAAAAACTATAGTTAAAATAATCAAGGCATGTTTTCATAATGAAGAGGTTAATATTAAGTATAGTCCTGCCAGATGGTTTTTATTACACAACACCGGTTGTTAATGATTTGTGAAAAACACTAATTTGTTGTCTTCAAACGTGTCATCTGATCTAACTCAGTCTGAGACTCCTGGCTAAATGTACTTGAGTGATCATTCCCAGAAAGCCCTACAAGGCAAAGAGGAGTAAAAGCAAACTAACAAAACACTAGCGTCTGCCAGAGTCTGGGTTCGATTTCTCAAGTCCTCGGAGATCAGGACGATCAGCGAACGTCTGTGCAGACGCCAGGAATTCTCCAGTGCTTGTCACTGCATGCTCACAGAGACCTGGGCTTATTCTGAGGGAGTATAGAGACTCTGTGTGTGTGTATATACTGTATCTGTCCAAACATCACAATATAAAGCCAGCAGAGCACAAAAGCAGGATTACAGGAGCTGAACTCCCATTCATTCTCCATTGAGAAACCTGACATGAGCTCAGAGGCTGATGAAGAAAACACAAGCCCATGATTTCATATTTGAAATATTTCAAATCATATATGTTTACCAAATAAAAAACTGTCCACAATCCTGAAATGAGATGCACCAATGAGAAGCATTCTCAGCATACTTATGCATGGAATAATTCCATATTTCTTACATGTTTTGGAAAGAAGTCTCTTCTGCTCGCCAAGGCTGCATTTATTTTATCAAAAATACAGTAAGAATTGTGAAATATTATTAGAATTTAAAATAACTGCTTTATCTGTGAATATATAGTAAAATGTAATTTATTTCTGTGATTTACAGCATCATTACTCTAGTCTTCAGTGTCACATGATCCTTCAGAAATCATTCTAATATGCTGATTTGCTGCTCAAGAAATATTTCTGATTATCATCGATGTTGAAAACCATTGTGCTGCTTCATATTTTTGTGGAAACCTTGATGCCTTTTATTTTTCAGGATTCACAGATGAATAAAAAGTTCAAAAGAACAGCATTTATTTGAGATGGAAATCTTTCATAAATATCTTTACTGTCACTTTTGATCAATTTAATGCATCCTTGCTGAA